TGATTGAAAATAAGAACATAATAACAGCAAAGTTCAATTTGCTCATTTTTATATGACTTTGCTCATTCCATATCCACTTTTCTCATTTCATATCCCCTTTGTTCTATTATACATATTTAGGTTTGCTCATTTTAAATTATTTGCTCATTTTGAATTTGATTGAAAATAAGAACATAAATAATTGATTCAATCACTATAAAGTTTAATCTGATATTATTAAAATCTCTATCAAATTAATCAAACCTAAATAATTGATTCAATTCAATCAAATAATTGATGCAATTAAACATTCAATTCGATTAATGTAATTCGAAAATTAACATGTAATTCAATTCGAAAATTAACATGCAATTCCAAATTTTTCAGAGATGTAAAATCAAAATATATTGAATATTCAGATTAACATGCAATTCAAAATTAAAATTACGAACAAACCTCAATGGTGGATGAAATTGCGACCGTTGAAATTTGCAAAAAGAAACCGTTGAAAATTGCAGAAAGAAACCGCTGAAATTTGCCGAAAGAAGAGCATACTCAGTGAATCGCCATTGATAAGTAAATCGCCATTGATGAGCTTTGAATTGCAGACAGAATAGAGGGGAGAGATAAATTAGATGCTGAAAGTTAGCTTGTAGGCATGCTTATAATCTCAGCAGTTGGATTTCATCTAATCTAGCGGCTGAGATTTGTTCTCACATAAGGTGTGGGTTCTCACATAAAGGGTGGTTCTCACCGGATCCCGACCCTATATATATATATATATATATATATATATATATATATATATATATATATATATATGTATATATGTATTCAATTGGGGTCAAGGTACCTCACTTAGGCCCTGTTTGATTCACCTTAATTTTGCTGAACTGAAATTATTTTTACTGAACTGAACTTATTTTTATTGAACTGAACTTATTTTTACTGAACTGAAATTATTTTTACTGATTTTCTATTATAATTCTTCTTTAAGAAAACTGAATTTTACTGAACTGAACTTATTTTTACTGAACTAAAATTATTTTTACTTAATATTATTTTTTTAAGGTGAATCAAACAGGGCCTTATTACACTTGCATCCGCCGGTGCTTCTTCTCTTTATTTTTGAAAACCAGATTTCAAATTTTTAAAACGGATGGAGTATGTATCATTAGAAGACTTCCATTATCATTACACCTTCTAGTTAATGATGTTACTTATCTACTTCACTACTTGTTGGCATCTTATACTTACACCAAATTATTATGAGTATAAAGTTAATATCATTTACAAAAAAGAAATAGTATGTGAATTTATGTTTGTAAAAAGAACAAAAAATACCATGAAATGAATTTATGTTTGAAAAAATAATACTCTCTCCGTCCCTAATTTAGAAGCATGTTTCTCTATATTATGTAAGTACGGAGTAATAAATATTAAAATTAGGCTTGTAATAAAAAGACGGAGGGAGTACCGAATATTGCTAAGGACTTTCTCTATCATGGCCAAATATTATCAAGCTAGGGCTTATTATTTAACTAGCCTTGTGACCCCTCTGACAACACGGCTTCCATTAAATATTTTTACTTGATACCAGCATGCATCTTTCTCTTTCTACCCTCTATTCATGGCTTTTATGCTATCTAAGATCTTTAATTCTCTATTTATTTTATGTCACATAAAAAACTTAAGAAGTAATAATAAATAGACTATACTAAAAATATTTACTAAAGGGAAAAAGAAATGGATGACATTGGCTCAATAATAGTTGGATGTATGTTAAGGCTGTCACTGGCTTACAACTACTACTATGAATTTATTATTACTCAGAAAAATATTTATTGGACTTGCAGAATTGCATTTGTACTGTGACTAAACTGAGCAATGTTTAGGGTACAGACAGCTCAAAAGATCTAAGGTCCTCATCTTTTTTATGCAAGTTTGGTTGAGATAGATTTAAATTTTTGGTCAATATCAATTCAGAATGTTAAATTAAATTTACAGATGTAATAAATCATCTAAAGAGTTATGATTGTTACCATGTGTGTCACATACCTTTGATTGATGTTCCATTGATCACATACAAATTATAATCTGTAGGTTTAAATTTATATGTTAGTCAACGTAATTGTTCATTATTATGAGGAAATTTTGACAATTACCACCTTCTGTTATGTCCATTTTAGCAATTACCACCTTCTATTTTTCTTTTTGAAAATTACCATCTTCTATTTTCAAAAACATCAAAAGTTACCACCTTCTTGCCTCCCAACTACCACGTGACATCATTTTGGGCTCATTCTTTCCCTTTCCTCCCTATTTCTCTCCCATTTCTCTTCCATAACCCGATTCTTACCTTCTCATTCACTTATTTTCCCCCAAAAATTCAGAAACTCTTCAATTCACTCCTCCAAATCAAAATTGACGGAAAATTATTGGTGGTTTGGGGGAAAAAAAGTGAAAGGGGAGATGAGAATTCAAATAGTAATGAGAAATGTGAAGGAAATAGGGAGGGAAGGGAAAGAATTGGCCCAAAATGACGTCACGTGCTAGTTGGGGGGCAAGAAGGTGGTAACTTTTGATGTTTTTGAAAATAGAAGGTGGTAATTTTCAAAAAAAAAATAGAAGGTGGTAATTGCTAAAATGGACATAACAGAAGGTGGTAATTGTCAAAATTTCCTTATTATGAGATCGAATATATACATGAGCCATCTTCTCAATTAACAATATGCTTATCGGGTGGAACAGTTGATGGAATAATATAAATGCCCAGTGACATAGCCCTAATTATGTATTGTACATTAATAAAAATAAATAAATACATTAATACACCCCTAATTCAAGTTTGAATTAGGTTAATTCATCTGTATTAAATTAAAGTTTAAGTCATTGCCACACTAGCTACACGCAATTGTTTATTTTTGTAAACAAAATACTTGAAAGTGGAGGGAGAGGTAGCTCAAGTAAGGGGTCGCGAGATAGATCCTCACATTTAAGAACCCTCACTTAATAACTTGGTATGATTAAATAAATAAAGGCTAGATCTCTAAAATCTAAAATAAAATGCTTGATAAGTATATTGTTAATTGATAATTGACTAAATCCTTACTTGCCTACTTGGTGCATATATACATGCATGGATATGTTGGGTATATATCATGATAAAATTTTCCACTTATAGAATTTCTAGAAAAAAGTCCATAATGCTTGTTGATTGACATCAAAAAAAAGTTGCAATATCAGATAATTTCGAGTGATGGGGGGCAATTTATTAAAATTCCATATTTTTGTGAAAAGTTCGATTGATTCTCAAGTTGAAGCGTTTAACTTCCTTCATTGCTTTTCATTTTTGTTGTCATCCAAAAAAAGGCTGGAAAAACAACTATATTTGTTTCATATTTCTAAATGTTTTTGTCAAAAAATATGCGCTAAAATAAAGTTTCTTTGCTCACTATTAGTTGCACCATCTCTCTTTCAAGGCCAAGCTTCATGAATATGAATTTTTATTACGGAGTAATAGATTAGAATAATATAATTCACTTTATATTATATAATCTTCTTTTTTACTAATTTATAATTAAAAATATTGTGCAAGAATTATTAGTGCACGTAAGAACTAGAAAGTATATTATTATTCTACCTTTCCAAAATTCTCCAATCTTAAAGTTAATATGGAGTAATGTTTGTACTCCAAAGTCCAAACGCTTTTGATTTTATCTAAGTTCTCTCATTTTTCTTGTGCTAAAAGCATTGGTAATTGTATGTCACTATTGACTTCCATTGAATTAATTTAATTTACTTTGTACTTGTTAATCAATTTTATGTAATTAAGAGTTGACTAAATACTGTATCTATCAATATTACATTTTTCAATTACTATCATATAAAGAATTAAAGAGTAGTTTTTTTTAGGGGATGTAAAGAGTAGTTGATTTAATCTTACTGCATTCCAAGAAAACCTTTTATTTAAATTAAGTAAAAAAAAAATCAACAAATATACTTTCATAAATTCAAAGGTTTATAAATTTATAATAGTTCTTTCAAATTTTATTTTTTTTTTTTAAAAAAAAAGGCTTATACTAGTTTATACAAAAAACATGAGCTTCAACTAGAAATGCATGTTTAAATATTTATGAACAGTATAAAGTAAAATTCATAGTTATCATGAGGCATGACCTTATTATATACACGGAGTTAATCTATATTCAAGAAAATAAAGTATTTCGGATGCCATTTCTAAAAAAATTCAAGTTGACCTCCAAAATTTCAAACTAACTAAAAAAGAGAAAAAAGAATTGTGTGATCAAAGAAACACCGTGATAAATCCAACCAAAACCCTAGCTTTTGGAACATGGTCAATATTACCATTAATATTTACCATCTACTTCTAGTAGTCATATAAGCTGGCATACGCACACCTTTTTAGTAACATAAATTCTCCTGAACTTTGTCACAAATGCTACCATCTACCCAATATATATCACTCAATTAATAGATTTTTTTTATTACCACCTTTTTTTTTTTTTTTAATAATTAACACAGTTTGATGACTTTTTGTACAATTAATTTAGCTCTCTTTGACTGTATATACTAATATTATTCCCAAAAAAAAAAAAAATATCTCAAACTTTATCATGTAAATATAAGGAGTATGTCGTTCAAAAAAAAAATAAGGAGTATGTTAAATTGGTATTAATGTGAATTTTTTAAAAAAATTTACAGATGCATAATTTTCATGTATTAATGCTCAAATTTATGAGTTAACACCTATACATGTTTAAACTAAGTCAATTATTCTGAAACGACTAAAGTAAATAATTTAATTTTTAAATATTTTAAATTTTATATTTTTTGAGGAAAATTTAATTTCACATTTAATGAACCTCCAACTTCCCCACTCCAATCTCTTCCTTTATAAACCCCACTTCATAACCCAAATCTCTGCATCAAACATTCAATCCAACCAAACAACAAAGGAGAGATAAAAAAAAATTAAACTCTTTCTTTTTACAAAAAAAATGGCAAAGTTTTCTGCTGCTTTAGTATTGGCCATTGCACTACTAATGGTCATAATGGCTAGCCACTCAGCATTTGGTGCTAGGAACATGCAACAAATGAGTAGCACTAGTACTACCACTACCACCAAGACTAACCCTAGTAGTACAAGTGGTAGTGGTCTCACTGATAACAAGAATCTTGTTTTTGGTGGTGTTGGTAGTGGCATTGGTGGCACCGCTGGCTTTATTGGCCCATTCGGTGGTGCTGTTGGTGGTGCTGGTGTTGCCGGTGGTGTTGGTGGTGTTGCTTTCCCCGTTGGTGGTCTTGTTGGTGGTGGTGTTGGTGGTGGTGCTGGTGCTGGTGGGATTATTCCTTAAGCATGACCTTAATTGTACTCGTAACGAGTTTGATTGAGCTAACAAGCGATTGTTTAAATTTATGTCGTGTGGTGTATTCGTGTATGTGTCGTAATTAAATTAGCTTAGCTTAGCTAAGTTGATCGTGGTTAGGGTTTTTATGTGTTGTTTAATTAAGGTGGTAACAATAATAAGAGGTAGTTTGAATTAACTAGGGTACGGTGTTGCATGCATGCATGATCATGTATGTGTTTCGTTGTTTGTCTAGTGACAAAATGTATTTGTCGTTTTATTTAAATTGTGTGTTACGTATGTTGTTTCAATTGTAAGCCTAGCAACAGTGTTTTTTTTTATGTATTGCAATTATGTAAATCAATGAAAAGCATTTGTTATAAATTTCTTGCAAAGAACTTTTTTTATTATTATTTTTTAATTATTTTCATGATGATGAATAACTACATTTACTCTGATCTATTATCTTTAAGTTACACCAAATTTGATCTGTTAATGAGATGAGGAGGGATACATGTTAGCTTGGCCAATTTTTACGTAGCTTAATCATCATGGATTCATGGTGCAATGCAATCAATCGTGCAAATATCATCAAATGTTACCCTCATATATCTTAAGTGAGCTGGTTAAAATAATTGGACTAGTGAAACCAAATTAACTACGTAGTAAATTAAAGATTATACAAGGTAGTAGACTAAACACTCTTAGATAATGTAATATTTTGTAAGTATAACACAACACATTAATTGCAATAATATATGTCATACACCTAGCTTATGTACTGAGAGCGAGGGATAGCTCAAGTGGTTAGAGCTCTCCTCCCGATTCCCGGAGATTTTGGGATCGATTCTCAACTCCGCCCTTATGACTCTCTAAACACCAAAAAATTTATGTACTTGATGTTACGAGAAGTAGAGTACTAGAGATTTAGAGATCCTCTCAAAAGCATACACTGAGATTTTTGTGAAGAGGATTACTATTGATAATAGAATTTTAAATATAATGCCCATTGGACAAACTAAGATTGTTTGATAAAATTGATTATGAATATTGTTGTTCATCATATAAAATTAAACAGTGTGGTATTGCGAAATTACGAGTATGTTTTTATTAAATATACAGTAATATAATAGATTATAATCATTTACCCCTTTATTATTTTTACGCATTTTTAATCTCAACATAGTACAAACTTCATTCGCAAAATCAAAATCGTTATACTACCTCCGTTTCATATTATTTGCAACGATTTGACATAAAATAAAGAGGAAAAATGTCTAATCGTTGCAAATAATATGAAACGGAGCTAGTATTTTTTTTCTTCCTAGGAACTGATTAATTAGATCGATTTGTCCGAAACTCCCTGTATTACAATGATCTCCGCATTGCACCCGAGATGAACTCAGTCCAACTAATGTACAAAATATGGTTGTGACCATACTCTATAGTCCATACCGTACCTTACTTTAATTTTTACTTCAGTAGTTGAATTTCAGCTCCAATAATCAATGGAATGGAAGCAACTTAACTTTTTTAGTGTACATTTTACTTTTTTTGTGTTAATATTACATACTGTATTAAAAATCATATTTATCAACTGCATGTATTACTTTCAACCAGTTTTTGTACTCTACTTAATGATATTATAGACCAAAGTGACCCCAATGTCCAATTAATAAATTTATTTTTGTAAAGAACAACATTTAAAATTACACATTTACTAGGGCTGTTAGAAAGCACTCCCTCGTTCCAAAGTCAATAATCTAGTTAATAGTGTAAGTGTGTAACTAGGATTGTAGAAAAAAAAAAGGGAATATTTTACATCAAGAGTTATTATACAATGTCTGTTCCTGAAAGTTCTGACTCACTTTATATTTGCGCTGTCTCCAATGAACATCTATGTCCATGAATATCTTTGGCTATGTATGCGGGAGTATGCCTGAAAATTATTTATTTCTATTAGCTAGATAGATTGCAGCCAAAGTTATTTTGTTTTGATCACATGAATAGTTAGTGAGTCGAACTTTTAGAAATGAAAGCAAAACTTTTTTATTTTTTCTCAAATGCATTTATTATGAGCATTGTTCCCCAAAAAAAAAAAAAAAAAAAAAAAAAATAAAATAAAAAAAAAATAAAAAAAGGTATTGTGAAGGGTGTTGAACTAAAATCATAGGTCGTGCAACAGAATATCTAATTATCTAGTGGAAAGTTGGACCTTTTAAAGAATAGTTGTAATCAAGCAGTTTGTTTATTTTGTATACAGTATACTCACAACTTTTAGCCCAAATCATCTCCTACAAGCCCAATGACCCAAATAAATCAGATAATTTTCACTTGTTGATCTGGTGTAAGCCCAATCTTTTAATTGTGCTCAACTATAATAAGGTAACAAAAATTTATGATTGCTCCAGAGTCTAGACCCTTTCATGAAAGAATAAGGGTGTTACTAATTTACTAAATACAGCCATATATTACAAGACACCATACTAGTATTTTACAATTTCGCCCTTTTTTGAGAAGTACAAGATATAGTTTGACCTACAAAAAGAAGGAATATCAATAGAATAAGAGAAGATAGATTAATGATCCTAGACTTGCTCGTAACTAAAGGAGAATGTTAAGCAAAGAATGATGATTTTAGTAAGGCATAGATAACGAGAATAAAAGTATGGTCGATCATAGATTTTTTGGGCAACCATTGAAAGACCTTGGTCATTGTTGGTTATGTGATTTGGCCATAGGCTCACAGGTTAGGGGAAGAGAAGAGAAATTATATAAATAGACAAATAGTTGATGAGACTATGAGAGTTGTTTGGTCATTCATGGGCTTTACCTTATAACATAAATCCATAATCATGCAACGACTACCTCTTCACTTCTTCATGCATCAACTACCCATTGTCATACACTCTCTTACCAATCATAAAAACGCACCAAAAACAACCACCATCAAGCGTCATCATCCGTTTTAGGCACCTTAAAACGTATTTTAAACCAACCATAAACCACCCTAGACTAATACCTATACTCTTGCCTTCAAAATATTAATTGAAAGAATGAATCAAATAGGCTGTCAAGAATAGCTAGTAGTTAGCATTAGGAATCTAGCTAGCAAGTTGAGAATTTACTCAATTTGGCAATAGACTGATCTATTGTTAGTTTGTTACAATTACTAGGTGTCTAAACAAGCTTTGTGTTTTTCCTATTTTATTTGTATCATGTTACTCATGACCTTAATATGTAAATTATTAAAATCAAATTACTAAGGGTCTGTTCTCATAGACTGAACTCAACTGAACTGAACTAAACTGAGCTGAGCTGAACGAAACTGATATGAATATTTTATAAGAGAAGGAAATTAGGAGCTAAACTAAAATGAGCTGAAAATAAACGTATGAGAACAGACCTTAATTCTCATCTTTTTGTCCTCCTATGTAACATAAATATAAGGTTACAAACTTACAATGCAAGGATAGATATATCATCAGTAAAAGTTTTATGTATTGCATGTAATTGTTTTTCACATTTCTCATGCGTTTAAATAACCACCATTTTACTCAATTATTGTTTGATAACTAGATGAAATCCGCTCGATGCACTCTTTACTTGTATTATTTTAAAATAAATATTTTTTTATATGTGCTTGGTACGATAAAATTTGTTATTTTATTCGTTATACATAGAATATCATTAAAATTTTCTCTTAAAACAAATTGTGAATTTCATTTCATTCATTATATATTTACATAAAATTCCTAATATCAAACGATATTGTTTTATATTTAATGAATTTAACCGTTAAAATCTCATTCACTAATTTTGCTTATGTGGCATTTGAAATATTTGATTTAAAAAAAAAACAATTACAAATCTCTTATTTAATTGGCTATAACTAAAATTTATAATCCTACCTGGCGCTTTAATTTAATCTTACTTGGCTCTCTATAAACTCGGGATGGAAATAACTCTCTTTTATATATATACTAGTTTGGTGCCCTGAGCAAAGCCCGTTTAAAATATATATACATATATATATGTGTATATATATGTATATATACATATATATATATATGTGTGTGTGTGTGTATATATATATATATATATATATATATATATATATATACACATATATATATATATGTGTGTATATATATGTATATATACATATATATATATGTGTATATATACACACACACACACACACACACACACACACACACACACACACATATATATATATACTAATTTTGTGCCTCGTGCAATGCCCGGATTGTTTATTAAATTTTGAGATAAATTTTTAATCTATATGCCAAATTTCAAAATATATCTCTAATACAAAATTATTTAGGAATTGATGTGTTTTTATGACAATTTAAACTAAGTAGTAGACATGTAAATGACTAATAATAATATTGGTATTTTTTTTAGAGTTATAATCTAATTTTTTTAAAAAATAAAATTATAATTCAATTTATACATATGAAATATTGGTATTTAATCGAAAATAAAACTCTCAACTAACAATTTTATCCTAAAATCCTAAACTTTTTTTTTATCCTATGGAATTTATCTAAATATATCCAATGTGGCGCATCACTTGGCGAAAAATTAGAATGCCAAGTGTCGTTGTGTCGTGGTCTGGCTAAAAGTCTAGCTATATATATAAATAAATATATATATAATTTAAAGATAAATTTCTTATTTAAATAACATATTTTAAAACATATCAATAATACAAACAATATTAAATAAAAGGGGGTATATCCTTTTGATTAAAGATATTTTGATGTAGGATACAATTAATTTTTGTAAGAGCGCAATATATATATTATTCGGAATTTCTACTTATTAATTAATAATCACTTGACAAACATGCATGCAAAATAAAGATGTGGATAGTTTTGGGAAATAGATTGGACTGTTTGTAGTTCTTGAAAAAGTGACGCAAGTAGCATAGTCATAGCTTTAAGAAGAAATCAATTTGAAGTTAACCTATTTTCATGTTAGAG